CAACACCTAAACTAAGAGACTAATAATGTGTTATCTTCATTACAAGTAATAATTAATGACTCATTACAGTCAATTCTAGTAGTAAAAACAATATCAGTAGATACTTTGAGTATCTAATTGTGATTTTACCAATTTCTGCCACTAAAACAAGAAAATAATTCAGTTTCCCTTGGTTTTCTCTTAGAAACCATTAGGCAGAAGTTCTTGTTCAGAAAGAGTCTGACTTCCCAAGTGGCAGAAGGATAAGGAGCCATGAGCTGCAAAAGGCAAAGCAGGTTTTATTGTGAGTCTGGGTGTGCCAGTGTGTGTAACTCTGCTAACCAACCCAGCTGCATCTGAGGGGAGACATAAAGTGGTGAAGGCTCAGTTCTTGCTTTAAGCTATGGAATAGATGGAGTGGATTACAAAAGAAAGGGAGAAAAGGATTCTAATCCTAGCAGCAAGTTGTGCTCTTTTTAAACACCTACAGAGCACACTGAACCTGAAATGGAGCTCTTCATCCAAAAGACCGAGGGATTAAAAATGCTTTAAAGGAAAAAGGCTTTTTTCTGTACCTTCTGTTGAAATGCTTCAAATCATGCTCTGATAACATGGACAGGAATTCTCCACAAACTGATTTACCCATTTTGCTACTGCCTCATTAGGGTACAGAAACTCAGCATTTGATCTAAGCCAGCAATTTCCCAATGCCTCTCAAAACTCCTGCTGTATCTCCACAAGAACACACCAAATTCTTCCCAGCTCACTTAGAACATGGAGACAGATGGAAATCTGTCTGTGGATCCAGCACTGGTCAATGATGCAGCAGCTCCCAGCTTCTCAGCACCAGCAGGAGGCTGTGATGCCCAAAGCTGTGACAGGACTGTGAGAACACTCCTCAATCTGCTGCTGGCAGAAGCACTGGAATTAGTGTGAACTTCACTCACCAGCTGCACACCAACAGCCTTTTCCAGACTCAGCTGCACTAAAGAAGTCACTGATCTCACTTCCAGTCACCATTTCCTCCATCTGCCAGTAAAACTGCTCCTCCAAGTCTCCCAATAGATGCTTCAATTTGATAGAATAAGAGACCTACATCTTACACAGATACCAGTGCAGGAAGTGCTCCCAGGAACAGCTCATTCAGCAGAGCAGAGGAGGTGGCAGAGGGCAGGAACAAAAAGCCAAGGATATGGCACCACCATGGCCTCTTTCACAGCAGCAGGTATTGCATCTATTTATGTCTTGCTTCACTTAACATAAATTAAAATGCTTTAGTTGGATACCTACAGCAAAGTATCACACCTCACTTGGCTGAGAACAATTCTCTCAAAGACTGTGGCAGGTTAAGTGCTAAGCAATTATACAGAACATTTTCTAGAAAAGTACAAAACTCAGGACTGGATTTTTGCTAAACCAAATCCAGCAATGGTATCTTCTATCTCTATGTATTTTAGAGGTTATATTTTGACTCAGAGATGCAAGCTACCCAAAATTATACTTTCAAAAAGAAGGAGCAACTCTGCTATGCTATACAGTCACAGCTTTAAAGATATTTATGGCATTTGTCCTGACAAGCTTTAGCCTTCAGACAATTCTATACTCTACTGGACAAAGATCCTTCATACATGGCAGTACACACTTGCTAACAAACCTTAGGAGGGGGCAGAAAAGTTAAGAGTGCTAAATAAGGGACAGAATTCCATTTTATACACAAATTCAAGTTACAGATTACAGAATAATAAGAGCTGATGTTGGGAAGGAGAGCAAAGAACAAAAACTCAGCAGATGAAAAAAGATAGGGGAACAATGTAGTATATGAATGTTCATGCAGAAACCAATGGCTGCTTAGAGGTAATGCCCCATTTCCTTACAGAGATCCAAGATAAGGAGGAGAAAAGCAACCCTGGAATAAGCATCCCACAGGCATCTCAAATCTACACTGCTTCAGCAGCCTGGATCTGAACATGCAATAACCAATATTTTTGGAAACATAATTCTATAGATTGGAGAGAAGTACATATCAAAAAATGACATATTGACAGGATTCTCATAATACACACATTAAACTGCAGGAGACTGACTTGTGCACAAGAGCAGCAGTGCAGGCTGTTCTGTAATTAAGGCTGCTGCCCTTCATAAATCTGTTTCCAGACACTATTTCCTCTAAAATACCTCTTCAACAAGTTATGAAATCAAAATAAGATTACAGGCAGGCCCAAAGTGCCATTTTCCCAGCAATATTTAATCATCATCTGTTGCTGACTTACCATCTCCCAGAAAGAGCTTTCCAGCACCAAAATCTCCTGACACTGTTACACAGCACATTCGTCCACACCTCCAGGAAAAGCCAAGGAGGACACAGCAAGAACACCCCAGCTTTGATGGGCTCCCACAGATGCTGCCTATCACCACACCGAGGCACTCACATTGACTCTCCTCGCCTAAAGAATCCGGTGTGAACGCCCTCATTATTCAGGTCTAGCACTGCCAACGACTCCTCTTTCCCATCACTGAAAGGCTCCACGTGGAATGCAGCGTTTAAAACCCCCACCGGGTCATTTCTATGGCCTTTCCTAGGCGGGATGGACACGGGGAAATGCCACTAAAATCCCGCGTGGCTCAACACCTCTGCAGCCCAGGGAGGGCAGGATTACAGATATTCTCCCACTCCTATGGAAAGCTGCTTAGCTGTGACACCCATGAATCACAGCGCCTCGTATGTACCGGCTGCTGCTGAACTCTCCTCGTATCTCTGAAATGACAATTCCAGCACGCTGAAAAATTTCAGACGCCAATCACTTCAGCTAACCAGGACATCCAAGGTGGTTCATATTGTTATCCAGGTAGTAAAAGTTGGAGCATAGACATCTAGCTCACCGAGTCTGAACCGTGCTGTCAATATATTTAAAAGATTTTTATTTTGCCACATTTTAGCCAATTCAAAGTTTACGTTGATCCATTACCTACAACTCAGAGAACATGGTGTCAAAAGGCTGATTTTCCCTAAAGTGTCCAAAAAATGCAACTGTAGCAGTTACTTTTAAAGGTCTGGAGCAGAGCACCTTGAAACTTTAAACACATAAACGTATTTAAAAAGATGTGGTTGCTACATCTCTCAGTCAAATTAACTCTGGGGAGAAGTAGGTTTGTGAAAGTGGTGATACAAAGACATGAAGGTGAATTAGCAGAGGCCACTGTAGCAAACTGACTTTCAATGGATAAACCCCAAAGCCAGGGATTTGCGTTGTACCAGAGCTGAGCCTGGAGCACTGGACCCAAAGCATCCAGCTGGTTTGAAGCTGTTCACGGGCTGACTTTCACCAAGCAGTACAGAATACAGACTGTGGTGTAAGGCAAATATACTGAAATAGGAGAAGAAATGAAAGCCAAAAAGTTTAGTAGAAGAAAAAATGCAGAGGCAGAATTGTGTTTATGATGAGAATGGTTCTACTACTCTGCTCTGTCCCCTCCACTTTTCCTTTATTCCTCTTAACAGACACACAAAATTAAAATACAAACAAACAACCACTGCAGCAGATGTAGTGGCTGACCCTCCCCAAATCTTTAATAAATAATTCCTGGAGCACTGCTGACAAACCTAACCCAGTACACTGCACACCCCTCAAAATTATTGATATTTCGTCAAATCTGGTTTTACTCACTAGAAAAGTACTAGTTGATCTTGACAGTTTTCTAAAATAAAGAGTGGTCAAGAAGTGCAGTTACAAGTACTACATTTTTGATCTCCCAAGAATTGAATGGACACAAATCTTCACATTATTTTTGCCATTGGGATTTCGGTAAATTGAGAAGCAATAAGTTATTTAATTTCTACAAAATACTCAAACCCTTGACATCACAGTACTTACTGCAAAACAAAGGCTTAACATCAGGTGCATGCCAAGCCAATGGAAGACTGTCACAAAAAATGTGTTTCCATTGCCATTTCTATCTCCTGAATAGCAATTTATTTGAAAAAAAAAAAAACCATTTTGAAAAATAATCAGAACTTAATTTTACCTTTCACTTCAACAGTAAATAAACATCCCTAATTTAACATTCACAAGACATACTGCCCTGTAAAATTGCTGCTTAACATTCAGCCAAAGAGCATGTCTTAAATACATTACTCCTTGTGGAAGACAAGACACGAGAAAGCAACACCATTAAAAATTGCAGGTTAATACCTCAGTGGAAAAAGGCCAGTGTCAGACACTGCAAGAGAAAAAACCCAACACGTTCCCTATTCTGCTTTGGGCAAACAAGATCTCTTCGGTTTCAGATCAGTGAGAAAGGGGCATCAAAATTTAAAATTAAAGACTATTAGCAAATCTATGCCAAGATAAATAACAAACACTAAGGCAGGCTGTACTATGTGGCAATGCACCCTAAGCAAAGCGTGCACCACTCTTTTTGCTTTTTTTTCCATCACCTCCTAATCCAGCTTTCTATGGGCATCACACAAATCCATCAACATGTAGGATGTGTGCAAATCTCTTCACGTGAATAACCTGAATAATTCTTAGACCCCATATAAGAAACAGCTATTCCTCACTTCTTTTTCTACCTCGTTCCATCTTCCCCATAAAGTGAAACCCTTCTTCGGTGCTGAAAACTCATTTTAAAACGTTTTTAAAAGAGATGGTAAAAACCAGGCCGTGACGTAGTTGGCTCTCAAGTCTACTTACACTTTACACTACAACATGGTAGATATACCCACACACAAAATTATCCAACATGCGGCAGAAATTTGAAGAAAATGGAAACATAATAGACGAAGAGCCCTGCGTCCCACACCGGCCAGCCCTGGCTATATTAGGGAAGGGGAAGGGCCGGGCTGGCCCCGCCGGACCGTGACCACCGGCCGGGCTGCACCCCCCGGCCCCGCGGCCGCGCCCCCCCTCCCTCAGCGCTGCCCCCGCTCTGCGCACTGCGGGCGCGGCCCCCCCTCCTCCCTCAGCGCACTGAGACCCCCGCCCGCCGGAGCGCCTTCCCCGGCGGCATCCCGGGCTCCTCACCGGGGCGGAGCGCTCCTTCCCGGGCTCGTTCCCGGGACGCCGCGCCCGGCGGGTGGCGGCTCCTCACACACGAGGGGCGCCGAAGCCAGCGCCGAGCGCCGCTCGGGTTCCTCCTGCTGCTGCCGCGGCGGGGAGAGAGGCCCCGCCCCCTGACTGCCTCACCAATGGCTGCGCGGAGCGCTACTGATTGACAGCCCCGCGGACCAATAAACGTCGCGACGCCCTCCCCCCGGCGCTGCTGCGGAGTGGTGCCGCTCGGCGCTTACGCGAAACTGAGCCCGCCCGGAAGGCGACGGCCAATCGGAGGGCACCGCCGCTTTGACAGACAACCATGAGCACCAGTAAGAGCGGCGCACCGGCACCGCAAGGCCCGCCCTCTGCGTGCAGCCCATGGCCGCGGGCAGATGGAGCGATCCCGCGGCTGTGGCAGTGCGGGATCTTAGCGGCCTCCGCTCCGTGCTCCGGCCGCTTTCCCTTCACCCGCGCCTGAGCTGCTCCCCTGGTCCCGGGCGTGTGGTGTACCCCGAGCAGAAGCTCCCCGGTTCCGCTCAGTCCCCGCGCCAGCGCTCCCGCAGCCGCACGGCCCCCGCACCCTGGTGGGGCAGGCTGGGATCTGTAGTCGCGGCTTGTCCGCGCAACCTCTCGTTCTCCCGGCTCCTCACCCCGGCCTTCACCGTTCTTCCCAACCCCGAGAGCCGGCGGCACTGCCCCGTCCAGCCTGGCCCTTAGAGCGCCATCCTCGCCTCCCTCCGTCCCCAGCCCCGCTTCCCGCTTCCCGCCCCTCCGGCTCCCTCAGCCCGCCCGCTCTAGTGGATCAGGGACCGGCACAACGCACGGCCAGGGGGGAAGATGATTTTAAACCCGCTACTGAGGAAACGGGACCAGGGGCGAGAAGGACGGAGAAGACAAAAAATAAGGAAAAAGCGGTGCCCGGGCCCAAAAGCGCTTCCCGTCCGTGACCTCTGGTCATGCGTCACTTCCCGGCGGCCGTTCGAGCGCGGAGCCCGCGGCCGTGAGGGGGTGCCCGGGCAGGGACGCGCCCGGCGCCGCTCGCCAGGCGGGGACCAGCTGCCAGGTGACTGCTGTTTGTCACCAGCCCCGGCTTGTGACAGGTTTCACTTCTTGCGCTTGCTGCTGCTGGGTCGTCGCATGGTGCGCTCAGGTAAATCTGCGATTGCAGCTGCAGGGGTTTGCGTAAGTAAAATAAAAAACTTGCCCCCAGGCAAGTGTCAAAGTGTGCGCTTCCCTCCAGCACGGTACAGCGGCCTGTGGAAAAATGTTCTATGCTGAACAATTGTGTGGTGTCTTTTTCTCCGTCTGATTGCTTTCTCTTGTAGTGTTCTTTAACATGCTGTGTTCTGATGGGTAGATTTTCAATTCTTTGTTATCCCACTGGTGGCTTCACAGAACAAGAAAGACAAGGAGCGGCTGGAGAGGGTCCAACAGAGGCCACAAGGTGATGGGGGGTCTGGAGCATCTCTTTTAAGAGGGAAGTCTGTGGGAGCTGGGTCTGGTTAGTCTGGAGAAGACTGAGAGGGATCTCATTAATGCACATTAATATCTCAAAGGTGGATGCCAACAGGATGGTGCCAGACTCTTTTCAGTGGTGTCCATCAGCAGGATGAGGAGCAACGGCCATAAAATGAAACAGAAGTTCCACCTCAGCATGAGGGAGAACTTCTTTACAAAGATGGCAGAGCACTGGGACAGCTGCCCAGGAAGTCGTGGATTTTCCTTCTCTGGAGACATTCCAAAGCCACCTGGATGTGTTCCTGTGTTACCTGCTCCAGGTGACCCTGCCTTGGCAGGGGAGTTGGATGGGATGATCATCTCCAGAGGTCCCTTCCAACACAAAATCCATTCTGTGATTTTGCAAAATAGTTGATTAATCAATCGACCAAGATGTTCTTAGAGCTTTGAATTCCCTGTTAAGTTTTATTGAACATGCAGTCATGGAGCAGTTAAGTCCATCTAGAAGAAATTTATGAAGCAAAACCCTTAGTGGAAAGACTCATTTGTCTTAGGCATGTGCTGCTGAGCTGCATTAAGGGGCTATACTTAGTGGCCTGTAAAAATAAGCAGTGGGTTTATATTATGTAATCAGCTTGTGTTGACAAACAGCTATTGGAAAACTTAAAGTAATCCCTGAACTTGTCATCAGTCTTGCACCCAAATTTCCAATAAAGAAACACCCCCAGGGATAATATCTTCAACAAGCTGGGTCTCAGTTGCTGCCTCTGGAACGATCAGGGCCTATAGTGAGATGCAGTATAGCAGTGATTAGAAAGAAATTCAACATTGTTTTTTTAAAAAATTTATTTTATTGTTTGCATTGCCCATACCCCTCAGTAGCTAGTTACTTTTCCAGATCATTTATGATTGATTGAACATGATAGAAGTTGGAGAAGATTACTTGGAAATACTGCTGATGTTGTTTCTCTCATGTAGGAGCTGTCTACTTGTTTGAATTTAAAAAAGTTTCAGTGCAATTTTTTTATATGGTAGCTCAGTTTTCTTGGAAGTTTGAGAGACTTTTTCAAAAGTTTTCCTGGAAATTATAGTTACTTTACAAATATATTTATAAAATTTATTCTGTTTTAAATCAGTTTTGCAAAGTAGTGGGAATTGCATCAAATAGTTATAAGTACATTGTTGTAGAGCCCTTCAAAAAAACTTCATCAGAGTGGAAAAATGGGAATCACTTTTACAAAACACATGGTGACTCCCATCAAATAAAAGCATTTATCCTTGTGTGCATGGGTTCTTCACTTCACAATTTTTTTGGTTTTATGCCCTATGAATGAATCATGATGGAGGTCCATGAATCTTCCTCATCCCTGCTTTTAAACCTTTTATTTACCTTAAATTATAAATACCTTATATTTATTAAATGATAGTGGATCATTTACCACTACCTAGTCCTGAGATGCTTAAGCAACTTTAGATTAATAGTTACTGAATTTGGTAGTTTGACTATTTCATCCCTGATTTCCTTTAAAACACTTGAGTAAATACTCTAGAGTTTGAGTTTTTTAACTTGTGAGGCTTGTGCAGCTGAATGAAGTCTCTGAATGAAAAGCTAGGTCTCCACACAAAACCTTTTAGGTTTATTTTGTCTGAAAAAAATGCAGCTGCAGAACTGGTGATGTGGAGATGTGGGAAGGTCAGTGTGATCTGTATTACAGCACATGAAGGACACAGAAAAAGCCATGAAAAGTTGTAATTAGGGAATACATGCACTGGTCTTTCTTCCTTACATCTTCTAAATCTGCAAGGACTAGAACAACAGATACAATCTGATCTTCTGCTATACTGACTAAATCCTTTTTAAAAACAGATTATTTTTATTTCTTGACATTACTACAGTGTGTACATAAGTACTCTGTCTCAAAACATACATGGCCACCACTGCCACAATCATTGTATATGTTGTTGTAATATCCATTGTTCACCACATTGGAATTCTTTAATTATTCACCTAGTCTGTAATTATTCACCATTCATTTATTCAATCATTCACCTAGAGAAAAAAACTAAACAAAAACTTGTACATATCTGGGAGTTAGTGCTTTCTGTTTTGCTGCTTTCCAAGATTGCAAAGTCAGTTTTAATTGTGTTAATGACTGATGCAGAAACATTTTTCATTGTAGTATTGCTGTGTGCTGATGACTCATGTGCATCCTCTAATTCAGATCTGTGCTTCTGAATCTGCATGGTTCCTGTTCAGTGTTTCAGTGAAAGGATCCTGTCATGATCTTGTTCAACAGAAAGTTAATTATGTTAACATTTCATTCTCATATTGTCACTCACAACAAGCTGTGTAGGGAGCTGATCACAAGTACATCATTATCTCTGCATTTATAGAATGGAAAATTATCAAAGAAAATGAGTCACAAACTTTCTTTAGAGGTGAATCTCAGAACTGAGTGTTCAACAGCTTTGGGCCCACCAATCCTGCAGCATTGTTGACTTGTGTGGCTCTACAGAAATGTTTTAGTTTTTGTCTTTAGTTTTTGTTTGTACTTAAGTACCTGCCTACTTAAGCAGGCTTAAGTACCACACCCTAATCAACTTGTAAAGGAAATACTGTGCAATGGAAAATATTGTGATAGAACTGAAGTGATTATGGTGATTTTCCCAACAGTTAGAATTGGAGCATTCATGTTTGCTCATTTGAGAGCAGAAGCAGGTATTTATTTACTGGAGCTTTATGGTTTTTTTTCTGGGAAATGCTTGTGTTGGGCACACAGGGGCTTTCCATCTTGTGTTAAGCAGAGCTCTGTGGTGGACATGCATGAAAGAGCCTGGTACTCATCAAGTTCTTGGATCTGCTGCTGAGTGTTCCAGAGGCCCAAGGTATAGGAATATTGTTTCTGTAAAGCTGTACCAAAGATTCCACTCAGGAAAATGGGGGACTGATTTTTCTTTTATTTTTTCTTTTTTTTTTCCCACTTCCCTCAAAGTGGGCATATTTTCCCCTTTTTTTCTGATTTAATTTTTAGGATTAAAAATTTAAACAACAGTTAGTTCCATTATCAGAAGTTAAATAACCAGGTTTTTTTCCCTGGAAATCTTCTGAAAAATGTTACTAAAAGAGTTATATTTCAGTGTCCATGAGTAAGCTCGATTTGAATGGCAAATAACTTCCTTCCATGAATAGGGTGTTTGCTAAAATAATTATTTCATAGTGTAAAGGGAGAGACACGTGTTGCCATCTTCATCCTGGAATATAACTGGCCTAATGCTGTTAGACACAGTAAAATATTCTAAATTAGTTAGAATATTTTATGGATACTGAGGTGAGGGACTTCTCCTTCAGCATCTGCACAACTTTATGCTTTCTAGAAAGAATTCTCAAACCTCAAGGAAAGCTGTGTAGATATTGATTATTCCAAGATGAAGTGATGAGTGTTGTTCCATCAAGCTTTATTCTCTATTCTGCCATGCAGGTAAGGTACCTTATTTCTGTTTTGTTTCCCTCTGGTTCAGCATGGCCAGTGCTCTCCAGGAAACCCCTTCACTCAAGGCCTCTCAGTTAGAGGATGTTGATGCAAAGCTCTCCTTCCTACCTGAAAGGCTGAGAAAGAAACTGCTTCCTTTTCAGGAAAAGGGCATCCTATTTGCACTTCAGAGGAGTGGCAGGTAAGATCATTGTGTTCAACTACAGTAGCACATGCTAAATATAGATGTGAAAATAAAGTATGCAGGTATTATGTAGAAAAATCATCAACTTATGTTTCTATAGTGGAAAGTAAGATTGTGATGCTAAAAATAATTACTTTAGGTAAACATTATTTTTTGCAAAGGTTATTCAATACCAGCAATCTCAGGTGAGTTATGTTGCAGAAATCTTTCATAAACTGTAAGGTAACATGGTTTAAAATGAGTTGTGGAGGTTTTTTCCACAGAGGATGAAGAGATTTAATAATAATAAATTTAATAATGCATTATGCAAAAGAGAGTTGTAGTATCAAATTTCTCATGTGAAAGGAGGTTGATATCAGTAGGACCATCATTTTTGTTATGTTAATGGAGAATTCCTAAAATAAGTTAATTCACATTTGATTCTTTAGGTTTTAATGGCGTGGTAGAGCTGTTAAGGGAATGACTAACAGATCTTGATGCATCTGTGTGGTTCTATTTTAAATTTGGTACAATTGTGGAGTGTAATCAGGGTGTTCTGGAGCTCACTGAGCTGCAGCAGCAGAGGAGAAGCCTTGCAGAGTGCTCAGTTAGCCAGGGCAGTGGCTGATGGAGAAGGCATTCAACAGTTAAGTACCTGCTCAATCAAAAAACAAAAACCACAGTTTATGCAGCAGAGGCTGGAAATATTTTGCTGAGTAAGAGCCTGTTAGTGAGTTACAGGGTTGAAAAGGAGAGGGGGAAATGCTATTTCCACATTTATAAATTTTAGGAAATGTGGGCAATTGCAGCCTAAAGCTGTGAAACCACTGTATGCTGTTGTTTTGGAAAGAAATGATGCTGGGGAGGGCTGGCACAAATAGAATTACTGTAGCCTGTGTGGGAAAGATGGATGAAATTAGTTCCTGATTATTTCAGTTCTTGCTGAGAAGGAGAGGCTTAGGGCCTAAGGGGGTTGCTCACTCATGTTTGTGATTGTTCTCAGGGGAAAAGAAATGTGCATCTTTCCCTCTAAAGGTGAAAAATTAGAAAGGAAATTTTTATCAGCAGCTCTTGGAATTAGATGGAACTTTTAATCTATTAAAATCTCTGCATTTTTTCTCTTTGATTCTTTTCCTTTGACCAAAACCCTTTAGCAGTGCTGTCTCAGGGAGTGAACAAACCATCTGTTTTATGCTGCTGGTTTCAGTGGCAGAACAGAAAGATGAGTCCAGCCCTTCACATGAGAGCCTGAGATTTGATATGCTTTATGCTGAATTGGCATTAACTGCTGCTGACCACCAGCCCTATCAGACATTTTGTTGCTGAGAATGGGTGGATATCATTTTAATAGACAGCCAAGACTTTGGTACAATATTCAGCAAAGCCTGTGTTAGAGTTGAATTTAATAAATCCAAAGCCCTTGGCTGCCATAGAATATGCAATTGAGGTGTATATTTGTGTATACAAATAGTGAAATAACAGAAGCCATTAAAATTAACAAAACTACACATTTAATTAGGCTAGGCTAATGGATGTGTTTGAAAGTGGCATAATCTTCTGCAGGCTGTTGTATAATATAGAATTTCCTTGGAAAGCAGCTGAACTGTTCCAGGACTGGATAAATTTTTATCAGATGTTTCTTTCTTCTTTTTGTTGAAGTAGTAACAATTGCCTGCAGTAAATATTCAGAAAGGTTTTACCTATTCTAATGACTCTGCCATGGAAGGAATTCTGTTTTTTTCATTGCGTTTATGGGTTTATGTTCATTTTTTTCTTTAAGTCTTTCACTACCAAGAGTTTTGCATAACCCAGCAGTGATGGTTTTCATGTGACATGCATATGAAATAATGTTCATCATGATTGCAAGAAATCTTGCTGCTTGGCACAGCAAATTCTATGTGTAAGCTGGGTCACATTGAGGAATTGTGAACACACTCTCAGCCAGCTTCTATATAAAGCAAAGTGTGTTAAGTCAGCCTTTCCCAAGGAATATTTTTTAAATCTGCCCCTTGCTGATGCAGATCTATTTCTCTTCCTGTCCCAAAAGAGAGAACAAGAGCCTCTGGTGCTTGTAGCTGAGTTTTCTTATTAGTTTGTCAGCCCTTGCCTCATAGAAGTCTTTCCCTTTTGTGTACTCCATAATGCTTTAAACCTTCTTTCAGCATTCCCAGTGGTATATTTTCTGTAAAGTGTCTTTTCTAATTTTAAAAAATATATAAACACAGGACTTGAAGTGAGCAATATGTGCATGTCTGCCCATCATTCTCCTTCCCCCAGGCTATGCTCTCCCTTCACAGGCATCACTCAATCCATGCTTTGCTGTGCTGGTAGGAAACTGCTGTAGAGCAAGTGTTGGCTGAAGAGATTCAATTAATATCATCTTAGATCAGACAAGAACCCAGCATGAAAAGGGACTTATTATTAGAACAAACTCTTATTTTTGCATGAAAGGGGCTGGGAGTGTGCTATTAATTCCCTTGTCTCTTCCCAAAGCATAAAATAAATATGCTGTTGTGGTTTGTATTTTTGATTCATTGGAAAATGAATCAAAGGCTTTTCCAGTAGATGCTCCAAAGGCATTATCTCATCTAACAGAGATTGCCTAACACTTTCCTAGGAAATGACAGTTCTAGAGCCAGCAAGACAGTGTGTGCTTCAACATAAGCTAACACACCTTTTATCTCAGAGCATGCCTTAAAGGTGCATAAGTGACTGGCTGCTTATTCCTTCCTAGAGATTATTCTTCAGACATGCTCTTTGGAATGGCTGCCTGGGGATGGATACAATTTATAGTGGTTGTTTGTAGCCTCAAACATTCATGTGCAGAAAAACTGGGTGCACACAACTTACAGCCATGAAGACCATTTCATTTTTGTGATTTTCTTTCAGTGAGGGTGTAAGTTACTTTTAAAAACAGCAATAATATGTATTTATTTATTTGTATGTGCTTTAAACTGTATCTTAAATTAAAACCAACCAACTTGTCCCTTCCAGGAATGTGACCTGTTAGCAGCAGGCTCAGGAAATGCTGAGGGTTGTTGGGGTCAGATGTGTGTGTGCTGTTGGGAAGTGGAAGTGAGCAATTCTCTGCTCTCTGCTGCTTCTTAGTCATGTTTGGGAAGATGTGGACAAATCCCCATTTCCTAAGAACTCAGGGTAGAGCTGAGGGGTCACCAGGTGTTGGTGAAGAGGTGGCAGTGTTGAAGCACAATGCTCTGGAAAAAGTGGTGGAAGTTTGGGTAAAATATCCAAGATACAGAGATCCATGGGCAAGTGACTCAATAGTGTTGATAAGGATGGTGTTCAATCTCATTTGAGCTCACATCTCTCTTTGAATATTGCTGATTTGTACTGCTGCTGTTCACTAATGTCATACTTGGAAAGTCACAGTTCTTTTTACCATCTACTCTTGTTTTATATTCTCTCTTTACAGAAGTGTGTGATGTCTGTCTAGTAATACAAACAATTTGTTCACCTGAGTACTCTGTAAAAGAGGCATGCTGTTGTTTGAAATTTATCTCTTGTGCTACTGGATATCACTAAATGCTTTATCAAGTTTTGTAATAAAAATTGCCAGCATGTGATTTGCAAGCATCCTTATTTAGCATTGCTTGTCTTGTAGATAGTATCTGTAAAAGATGCCTTCAGACACACAGATCTATTTCTTTCTAGGCATGCTGGCAGAACAATTTGTTTAAGCTGGATGCAAAAGAGGACTTGGAGATATTTACCACCAATGAAATAAGCAGTTCCATAATTGTATGCTCAAACTTTTTACTGGGGTGATCTTGTTTCCTCTGGAAGTTTGAGAGGTATTACATTAACTTAAATATTCAGGAGCATGTGATTTTTAATTTCCCATACATGCTGGCCTTATGCTGTTAGACACAGTGAAAAAAGAAAATGACCATGGATGGCAATATCAGGATGTTGCAGAGCTCACATCTGCCATTAAGAACAGAAGTTTTAATGCATCAGTTTTAATGCAAGGGCAATTGTTTTGTTAGGCAGTCCCTATCAAGAGCAAAAAAAAGTTTTATAGTGTTTATTTTTTTTTATAATGGGCTACAGAGAACAATTATGGCAGTGAAATCATTAGAGAATAAAGTGTGAATGTCCTCTGTTATAATGTTGAGTCAGTTGCCTACCCTTCAAAATAGTGCTTTTCCCATTGACTGTGTGTCTGATCTCTGGCAAGCTACACAGGAGGAGGAGTACATAGTTAGTTAACTCTTTGTTAATTAAACCAGACTATTACTTCAAAAATTACAAGTTTTTGTAGAAATTCATTCTCCCTCTCCTATCTTCAAAGTAGACCAGAAAACCAAAGGTTCAAATTATAATTTCCTTGAAGTTGATGAACACAGCTGAAAGATTCTTCAGTAGAAAGGCACAGCATTACAGTCTGCTGAGGGTTTAGCAGCTGGAGCACAGAATTGGCAGCCCTTGGGCAGGAAGCAAATAGAAATGTTTGGAATTCCCAGGCACAGCCCTTGGTAGGGCGAGGAATTTCTGATATAAGTCCTATTTCAATTCTTATGCAAATTTCTACACAAATTTCTTTAACTTTCTAGGATGTATTATCCATTGAGTAGTATGAAAGGTGTAATTTCCATTTGAGTTGAGTGTCTAAGGAAGCTATAGTTTTGGATTTTGGAAATAAGAGAAAATATGTTCAGTCCATGCACTGCCATGCACATTTTAGTTTCTGCTAGAGCCGTAGGCCCTTTTGTCTTACACTTTTCTATAACTTCTTTTCACTTTCACTCTTATTTTTGTCATCATTACTGAGTTTGCTTCTGGGTTTTATGTTCTCCATTAATCTTTCTTTCCCCTCTGTACAATGCAATTGTTGCTTTCTGTCTTGTATTGCCTTTCTAAGTTAGCAGAGCTTTTGTTTTACTTTGCTTTTACCTTTGCTATTTTTGATCTGTGATTACTGATTGATTTGCTCTTTCAGTAGTATTTCTATTCTTCAGTTTCTTATCTTTGATAGTAGCTATGAATAAGAGAATAGA